CACACACACACACACACACACACACACACACACACACACACACACACACAAATATAACATCTGAGAAGGAAGTTGATCCACAGCTGATCCCTGAACCCTCATGACAAACATCCTCACACTGGACCCATAAACTGCAGAAATTCTGTCCAGATTTAACTTCCTTTATTTATTTAGTATTTTTATTGTGTTTGGATTCCTGTTCTGAATGCACCTTTTTTGTGGTTTTGATTAACACTTTGTTTTCAAACAAAGTGTTAATCAAAACTCAAATTTGCTGTTAGCTAGCTAAGGGATATCTGTTGTTTACACTTTCACAGAAATCCTTTTCACACATGTGAAAGGTTTGCTGTAATTGAATGTTTCTCATATTTGATTTAATCCCAGTGTTCATACTAACACACACACTTTTAACGAGCCTGAACTGCTGCCGTCACATTAACAGACTCACAGCAGCGGTGGCTCCATTTGGCCTCTGATCACCTCTTCACAGGAAAATGACAGATCGTGGCCCTAAATCAAAACACCTCTCAGCTAACATTTCCTCCTCTGGCTTTTCACCTACGATAATTAGCTGCAACACAGTTATTTTTGTCAACATCTGAGCTAAAAAAGGAAGAAAATTATGATTGTTGTATCTGCAACTTTGTGTTTTTTCTTAAACACAGTGCAGCACGTTTGTTAACAACACATCCAGATGTAACATGTAATTGTATATTTACAGTGTCTGTGTGGTAATGTGGCTTCCCATCTCTCAAACAGCAGCGACTGACGATGTTTCCTCATTGGAAGCAAATAAAAAATCATGAGTTAACAACTATGCTCATTACTGCAGTGCAAGGCTGTTTTTGGTATGACACTAACTGTTCAGTAAACCTAAACATTTAGTAAAGTCATATTTGGCTTTTTGTGATTTTTTTTTCTTTAAAACATCCACAGCATGTTACACAAGCTGATATATGCTTTTGTTTCATAAACTTCATCTGACTGTACAGACTTCTGTAATTGGTTAAAGCTTGGCTTAAACTGTGTGGTTTCCATTCATCATAAACAACTTGTACATATCATCCAAGCTTTCTAAAATCTTATGAGTAACCTGTAACGTTGTACRACACAAGATTTACTATGCCACTTGTTGCCTTATAAAAATGAGTTACATAACAAAAATCAGGCAGATTCTGTCCTACAATAAAACGAAATAAAGCTCTGACGTCGACWCTCTAATTATTATGTTCAGACGCTAAATACGAGAGGGAGGAGGATGTGGGAAAAGACAGCTGTGGACGTCTCGTGTCTGGGAATCGACAGCAGTCACACTTGTAAGAGTGAGCTTAAGGTGAATTAAGCTTTTCCCACATCTCTCATACACAAGGTTATGAGGAAACTTTTACCAAGGTATTTCTCATTACCTGTCAATACCTTGACTGTGCGAAGTGAAAAGTGACACAATAAGTGAACATTCAGACGAGTTCAAGTTGATTCATAAAAGACTATGCAATCATTTATTTACACAAATTGAACAGATCATAAGTTACACTTGATTGTGGTTATTCCAATAACAAGCGTCAAATTTAAATGAGATAAAACCCAAGTCCGAATTTCAATTCACATCAACTCAGATTACTTATATAGAACAGTAAAAACGTCAGTTCTGATGTTAACCAAACTATTTTACTGGCACTTTTAGCTTAAGTTTTGGCAAATTAAGAACAAGGAAAGGAGGAAAGTAAGATTAGTATGTTACTATGACTTTTACTTTTATCAAAATGTGGGTCAACCGGAACTGCACATCTTTTCTAAGCTCAGGTTGCACATGACACRTCACTCCGAACACATCAGCTTTACCTGGTTATGACTTCTTAAGGCACCCTCGGGGTAGGAGCTGGCTCGCCTCCGATCAGTCAGGGAACTGATGTCGGCTCGCTTACCGGTCATTGGCAAACAGGTGTTTTTCCAAGTAACTTTCGTCTGTTTCAATCCAAGCCAGAAAAATTCAAGCCGTATCCGGTTCCTCCTTCCAAAATAAAATCTCCCCTCGGGAGTTAAAAACACACTTAGAGGCTCGGCCTCGGGTTGAGACCACCGGCAGGTGTGTCGGGTCCCTGGCTGTGAAGTCTTCCCTAATTAGCTCATGGGATCAGACTTTAAGTCAAACTGAGGTTTCTCCGGAGAGAATCCCAGCTGTCTTCCTAGGTTGGAAACAGGAAGAAGAGTGTGTCGCTCAAAGGCGTCCGGGTTAGTAAAAGAAATGGACGAACTTTGGTTCCGCCCTCAGGCTTAGAGATGAGTCAGAGAAAGAAAGATAAAGATCTGCCAGCCGGCGCCAGCCCAAGGGTAAAATTCTGTGGTTGTTCAACAACATGATAWGATAACCTCTTTTCAGCTTTCTTCTGATAGACTAAGAGAAATCACTGCAAAACATTTATGATGATTAATTAACATTTCTGTTTTATAATCAGTTCTGAACCTTCTGTTAGTCCAGATAAATGAAAGATTTTGTCAGGAAAAATCCACAATTAAATTACTGTGTTCACAGTAAAATAAAAACAGTGATATACATAAAAACMCAATGAAAACATAATCAGATTCTCTGTGAATTTTTTTATACCACTATAAATCTTTAAGGCACAATAAAAGAAAAGAAGTGGTTCCACTTTTCCTGTGACACTCATTATCATGATTTAACAAATGCATAAACATTCTTAGTTAAACAAAAAATGAATCACTAACAGAAGAGATTGTTCTGTCCATTATCTGATTAAGAGAACTGAGGTGTTCTCTTCCACGGTTAGAATGACCTGTCAYGGCCTAAATAGAGTTCAGTTTGTGACAGAGTTCCTGTCCTCTTGTCAGGCCTGTTCGAGGCCTGCTTCAAGGCTGTAAATCTTGTTTCTTCACTCGAGGTGACCCCTACACACTGCACAACTTTCCCAGAACATTTTGGACACTGCGTAGATGTCGTAGGTCGTCTTTGGTCATGAACTGAATCCGTCCCACTAAAGCTCCACAGAACACCCATCCCTCATAACTAAAGACTTTTTTTTTCAAAACAAAAGGAAAATTTACTAAAATGGCCAGAAATATCATGGTGTGAAACTCAGCTGGATGTGGTGAACACAGTTTGTCACATTTACTTTTACTAAAGGAAATTATGACCAAATAATGTGACCATTACTGTATCTTAATGCTATCATTTAACCAGATTGTTACATACACTGTATTGCAAAAAGTATTTGCTCACACATCCAAATGACCAGTGCACAAACCAAGGTCCATAAAGACATGGATGTCAGAGTCTGGTGTGGATGAACTTGACTGCCCTGGACAGAGTCCTGACCTTAACCTGATAGAACACCTTTGAGATGAATTAGAGTGAAGACTGAGAGCCAGGCCTTCTGTCCAACATCAGTATGTGACCTCACAAATGTGCCTCTGGAAGAATGGTCAAAAATCCCCATAAACACACTCCTAAACCTTGTGGACAGCCTTCCCAGAAGAGTTGAAGCTGTTCTAGCTACAAAGGGTGGACCAACGTCATATTGAACCCTATGGATTAGGAATGAGATGCCACTTAAGTTCATGTCAGTCAAAGCAAGTGAGGAAATACTTTTGGCAGTATAGTGTATTTATTTATTTATTTTTAAAGAATGAAGTCAGTTACTTTGGTGTTACCAAAAAAATATATTTGAATTAAATGTTCAGTAAAACACATGGCACGCTTTGCTTCCAAAACAAGAAAATAGTTTTTTGTGGGTCAAAGATCCATCAAGTTGCAGTTATTAACTATGTCCTTCCGTCCGTTTTCTGCCACTATCCGGGGTCGGGTCGCGGGGGCAGCAGCCTAAGCAGAGAGACCCAGACTTCCCTCTCCCCAGCCACTTGGGCCAGCTCCTCTCAGGCCAGCCGAGAAACATAGTCCCTCCAGTGTGTCCTGGGTCTTCCTCTGTGCCTCCTCCCAGAGGGATGAGCCCAGAACACCTCACAAGGGAGGCATCCAGGAGGTATCCTAACCAGATGCCCGAGCCACCTCAACTGGCTCCTCTCGACGTGGAGGAGCAGCGGCTCTACTCTGAGTCCCTCCCGCATGACTGAGCTTCTCACCTTTTCTTTAAGGGAGAGCCCAGACACCCTGCAGAGG